CTTTAGGTCACAGTTTTAATGTCTTTTAGGAAAATTTCAATTCAAGTAATATTTATTCAAAATTTTTCTAGGAATCCATACATAATCTTATAAAATTAATATTGATAGTTCGCAATGTTCTAACCATTTTTGAAATGAGGGGGGGGGGGGCACCAATTTCATACAGGTCTAAATGTATTTTCGGAATTATATATAAACCATCAAAGAAAGGTAAATACAGTGTTTAAATAAAGGACATAATACATCGTGTAGCATATCTCTTAACGAATGTAGTCCTGTAATTTGTGTAATGGAATGTATCTGGTGGTATTTGAATCTGTTCAATTATGAAACCTCCGTGGTCTAATGGTTATGACGCTCGCCTTGACAGCGAGTGGTCGCAGGTTCGAGTCCAGCCAGAGGCATTTTATTACACAATTCCTTTATTCATTTATTTACAGGACTTTGATTTTGTATTGTGAAGTTTTATTGTATTTTATATATTTTTACCTTCCCCAGCCTGGGGGTTTGTGTTGAATAAATTGAATTGAATTGAATTGAATTTATCTTTTTAAAAAATGTTGTGCCCTCCCGTTTGAAAAAATCTGCATCCGCCCCTAAAGCAAACACTAAACAAGGCTACCAGGCTGGTAGTAGAGTGTTTGTTGCATAATACTTCAAAATTTCTTTAGTGTGATCCTAGTTTTACTACTGCCGTATCTATCACTGTTTGACTACTGTCAATTGTAGACTTCCGACTTTTTAGCCAAGTTTCACTTGAGCTCTGCTTATCCTTCCTCCATGACTCGAGTAAGGCGATGGTGATTTCGGTTGGAATATCTCGCAAAGTCTGTAATATTTTGCCTACAATTTTTCTTGTGTAAATCAAGCAAGAGGACAGCGGTTAATTTTCAAAAAGTGAGATCACAAAATAAATAGATCTATCGAAAACGATATCGAAAATAATATGACATATAGGCCTCCCAGGTAGCAAGCAAACATGGCCCAATATGGGAAATGCATGGACCAAAATGTGGACCCCTACAGTTTGGCCTATACGGGAATGAGCTGTCTGTGCACCCTAAATCCTTAAGGTCCCATATAGTTTGGCCCAAATGCAAATGTGGGCCCTTTAAAGGATATATTTGGGTCCCTTAAGTTTTGAATTATGCTTTCATTTGGGACCCATATGGGTTTTACCAAATTAGTTCATGGGGTCATTGTGGGCTATATCTAGGTTTTTTGAGGATTGAAATGTAAGTGGCCAATATAAATTGGCCCATACGGGAATGAGCTGCCTGTGCAGCCAAAATCCATAAGGGTCCCATAAAATTCATGGGCCCGTTAAAGGATATATTTGGACCCTTTAGGTTTCCATTATGGTTTTATTTGTGGCCCATGTGGGTTTTGTCCAAAATAATTTACGGGCCCATGCTGGGCTATATCTGGTTTTTTTTTGTGTTTTTGTTAAGGCTGAATAGGAATTGAAATGTAAGGAGGCCACTAAAATTTGTTGGGTATTGTGTTTTTCACAACTGTTCAACTGGTCCAAGTTTTAAATAGTCTTTAGCTGGTCCCAGTTCCAACTTGTCTTCAGCTGCTGGTCTCAGTTCCATTAATTGGTCTTCAATTGGTCCCAGTTCTATCTGGTCTTCAATTGGTCCCAGCTCCCTGTTGTAAAATAACAATGGCTTTAATTGACTCCTGTAGACTTACACAAAATACACTGAGTTTAAGATATACAAACCATAATTTCTTTAATTTAAAAAAATCAGCTGTACTTCATGGGGTAGGGACTTGCATACCCCTTAGCATTTCATTTCGCTCAAGTCTTAACTGTTACGCTTACAGTCCTGTTTATATCAGCATTTTTGTCTATAATTATAAGCCTATTATATTATAGCATCACTAGTAGAGTTTCTAATATAGAACAATATTCAAGAATCGTTTGCGTCAGGCGTGCATATAAACCAACATTCTTTGTGTATTGAAGCAGCATCTCTCCATAACCATGCATTCTGCAATTGAACAAATCAAGTTCGAAATACTGAATCGCAATGGCTTGCTGGTATTAACTTTTTCCACAATTGCTGAAAGATATTTTTAAAAAATATCTTTTAAACAGAGCTGAGCGAAACATGCATTTCATAGTCCTTGGCATTTCGAAAAAAAAAAAAACGATTGAATACTCCTGTTTTTTTTTTAAATTTTTTTTTTTTAGTTTTCAAAACAGCTTAACATTAAATGTTGTGGAGAGAGGACATTACGGTGTTACAGTGATATTCATTATAGGCATATTACATACACATTATATTTTATTAGTTATAACCTTCATCATGGTAGTAAGTACAGTATAGTGTGTCTATTTGGAGTATGATTCATAATCAGCACCTACAGTACAGTAGGCCTCTAAACTTATATAAACAAACATTCTTTGTGTTTTGAAGCAGCATCTCTTCATAACCATGCATTCTGCAATTGAACAAATCAAGTTTGAAATATTGAATCACAATGGCTTGTTGGTATTAACTTTTTTTGGCGTTCCACAATTAATGAAAGATATATTTTTTAAATCTTTAGACAGAGCTGAGCGAAACATGCATTTCATAGTCCTTGGCATTTCGAAAAAAAATGATTGAATACTCACACTCTACAGGTCAAGATAAAAAAAAATCAGGGGCAGGGGAAACTTGTCTTCTGTCAATTAAAATATGCAAAATGCTATTTTTTAAATTGTCTTAATTAAGGTGGTTTTGCTGTCTGTGTCTTTAGGCAAAGAATGAATTAGTAAGTACAGTACATAAAACATTCCTACTCAAATTTAAAATCTGTTATTTCCCTTCAAAATCAATGTTATTAAAATGTACATAAGTAAGATGTACATAATTTACTGTAGCTAAGGTAATAGACTAGCAGTTTTTTTTTTATTTTATCAAAAGTGAGTTATCAGTTCCAATCATGTTTTTTTTTTTTTTTAGTTTTCAAAACAGCTTAAAATTAAATGTTGTGCAGACAGTACATTACGGTGTTACAGTGATATCCATTATAGGCCTATTACATACACATTATATTTTATTAGTTATAAACTTCATCATGGTAGTAAGTACAGTACAGTGTGTCTCTTTGGAGTATGCTTCATAATCAGAGCCTACAGTACAGTAGGCCCCTAAACTTAAAACTTAAACAAAACATTTTATTCACCTTTGAAATTCAGGCAATTTTCTGTTTCCGCAACTACCACAATAAGGCTTCAAACAAACATCACCTACATCTTCTGAAAAAAGGCAAAATTTGTTAATATTAGTGATTAAGCCCTATGCCTACATACAGTAACTTCGCCAAATATACTAAAGGTATTACCCCTCAACCCATTGTTTTATTATTTAGCATGCACTTATAATAAGTGACAACACGACCTAATTCACCAATAGCTAAACTATGGGACAAGGCTACAGTTTGGGCAGTTTGACCAATTACTCCAAGTAAATACAGAATTACCTAAATGTACGGAAGCACCTAAGTGCCATTCGACTTGACGACTTGTCAAGATAATTATGTTGTCAAG